CCTGTCGATCATCTGTAATTTACCTGTAAGTCACGTGTCGATCACCTGTAGTTCGCCTGTAAGTGACCTGTCGATCATCTGTAATTTACCTGTAAGTCACGTGTCGATCACCTGTAGTTCGCCTGTAATTCACCTGTCAATCGGTACCTGTAATTCGCTCTCCCAAACACATTACCTCGAGCTTTAATTTCGTCGTAGCGGTTTCATATCGCGCACACCATTTTTGTAACTGAGCACCTATTACGTCCCAGCGTCGTAGCGTACGATCTATAGTGTTCCCTGGTCGATAGCACGCCTGGATAGTAGGCCTACACATGCAGACACGCATGTGGCGCGAAAGCAGAAAATGCATAAATCGGCTCGCATATCGCATCCGTAGCGCGCCGGTTACTTTACCGTATGCGTCACGTCATGATGGTGAAAATCCATTAGGGATTTTAGAAATCGGCACGTGAATTTGCGATCATATGTCCTCAAATAGGTTCAGCTGTAGTCGCCACATGTGTAAGTCAGTGCAAGGACAATAGCGTACGCACGCACGTACACACACACACACACACACACACACACACACACACACACACACAGAGACATGACACATACACACACACACACACACACACAACACACACACCACACACCACAGCACACACACACATACATCAGCACACGCACACACGCACGCACACAGGCACGCACACAAGCACGCACACAGCACACACGCACACACACACACAGCACACGCGGGGCTCACATAACACCCAGTTCTATATATAATAATATATATAGGTGTGTGTATGTCTATAACTGACATGGCTTACCCGGTAGGTGCCGACTTTAGTAAAGATTTGATTATGTGTCTGTTGTCCCGCTATGACAGACGCCGCGGAACCAGCAGATGTGGGTATCTGTAACGTTCATAAATAATAACAATAATCAGAATAATTTATATGGTAAATATATAGATTATGTATGCTATAGAAGGTACATAGGTATTTGTTAATTTATCTATTTATATGATCTTAACACGCTCAGCAGTACTGATTCACCTTCCACTGATTCTTCTCTTTCTCTCTCTCTCTCTCTCTCTCTCTCTCTCTCTACTACAACAACAACCAACCACCACACACCACCACCACCACCACCACCACCACCACCACCA